TTAGGGGGTGGAGTGGTAGGAAATAAGGATTCCAGTATTAGCGGGGGGGCGGGATAACTTCCCGAAGAGATGGGTTTTTCAAAAGATTGCCCTTAAAGTGAGTAGAGTAGGCGATAGCCTGATATAGATTGGGGTAGGGAATTTTCCCAGAGGATGGGTGCAGCCGTTGAGAGTAATCCTGGAATGTTGTGAGAGATATCATCCGATTGTCCCATAGGGAGAGGAAAGTGACTGGCTAGCTTCGGGATATTTCTGGTTGTTGAGAGATTTTTGTATCAATAACGTCTCTTTTTATCTTCCAAGGAAAGTCATTAATAAAGAGTATCAGTCCAGTCTGAGCAAACCACAACCGCACAACGCTGCCGGTTACGTGTGGCCATGTACCTTCCATGAGAGACCAGGTTACTTCCAGTACAGAAAATGCTAGTTTTGATGGCTGTCTGTGGGCAAAATGCGAACGCTATGCATAGGTACCGCATAACATAGGAAAATTGGCGATCGCACCACACATGAGCGTGTATCGCCGTGGATGCCAGTGCGAGGGAAATAATTTTACGCGCCAAGACCTCATGGTGTACTAACCTGTAAAGAGCTTTATAAACCTCTTCAATAACGAGCCACATGGCACCACCCAGTTCCTGCCCAAGCCAGTTTCCTCCTGCATTCAGCCGCACCACTTTGAAATAACAATTACGGCGAGTCAGATGCAACACTAGTACCCATTATTACATTTTTATCATTTTTTTTTTCGCAAAAAATGGAGCTTTCCTCGCGGGGCTATTTATTAACCACTTTTTTTTTCCGAAATAATAAGTGAAAAAATGTCGTGAATAATTGAAAATAAAATGTGTGTTTTTCTTTTGGTTTCTGGTATTATAATATTGCAAATAAAATATTCCTTCTTCATAAATTTAAGGCCAAAATGTATTACTGGCTACATTTCAGATCTGTACGTTTACCCTTATTTCTTTGTCTGCTGCAGAAAGGTTTGACAACCTTTGGTATATATCTGAAAATCGATCGATCCTGACGTTTACTGATATCTCATTTATCTTGAGGTCCTAAAATGCCAAGGAGCAGTACTGAATATTAAACCCCCCAAAGCGCCAGGGCCAGTGTCTGATATCCCCCAAATGCCAGGACAGTACTGATAATCCCCCAAATAGCCAGGAAAGTACTGGATATCCCCCAAATGCCAGGACCAGTACAGAGTCGACCCCAAATATGTCAGACATAGGACAGGATATCTCCCCCTAATGTCTCAGAACAGGTACAGATTATCCCCCAAAATGTCAGGAGAGTGACAGATTATCCCCCAAATTGTCAGGAGAGTACAGATACCCCCGTCCAATGTCAGGACAGTTACCAGATAATCCCTCCAAATGTCAGGACCAGTACAGATAACCCCAAATGCCAGAGACAGTACAGATTATCCCACAAATGCCAGGAACAGTACTGATAACCCCCAAATGCCAGGGACAGTACTGATATCTCCCCAAATATGCCAGGAAAGTACTTGATATCCCCCAAACGTGCCCAGGAACAGTACAGATATCCCCCCAAATGTCCAGAATAAGATACAGATATCCCCCAAATGTATCAGAACGGTACAGATATCCCCCAAATGTCTGGAGATGTTACAGATATCCCCAGAAATGACAGGAGAAGTACAGATACCCCCCAAATGTCAGGACAGTACAGATATACCCCCAAATGTCAGGACAGTACAGATATCCCCACAAATGCCAGGACAGTACAGATATCCCAACAAATGCCAGGACAGTACTGATATACCCCCAAATGCCAGGTACAGTACTGATATCCCCCAAAATGCCAGGACAAAGTATCTGATATCCCCCAAATGCCAGGACAGTACAGATATACCCACAATATGTCAGATGAATAGTACAGTTGATATCCCCCAAATGTCAGAACGGTAACAGATATCCCCCAAATGTCAGGAGAGTACAGATATCCCCCAAATGTCAGGAGAGTATCAGATACCCCCCAAATGTCAGGACAGTACAGATATCCCCCCAAATGTGTCAGGCACAGTACAGATATCCCCCAAATGCATCAGGACAGCTGTACAGATCTCGCCCCCCAAATGCCAGGGGGACAGTACTGATATCCCCCCATAATGCCAGGCTCAGTACTAATATCCCCCAAATGTCAGGACACAGTACTGATATCCCTGCGACCCCCCAAATGTCAGGACAGTACTGGATATCCCCCAAATGCCAGACAGTACTAATATCCCCCAAATGTCAGGACAGTTACAGAGATCCCCCAAATGCCAGGACAGTAACTGATATCCCCCCAATTGCCAGGGACAGTACTAATATCGCCCCCAAATGCCAGGACAGTACTGATATCCCCCAAAAATTACCAGGACAGTACTGATATCCCCCAAATGCCAGGACAGTACTGATTATCCCCCAAATGTCAGGACAGTATCTGATATCCCCCAAATGCCAGGACAGTACTGATATCCCCCAAATGCCTCAGGACAGTACTGATATCCCCCAAATGCCAGGACAGTACTGATGATCCCCCAAATGTCAGGACCAGTACTGATATCCCTGATATCCCCCAAATGTCAGGACAGTACTGATATCCCCCAAATGCCAGGACAGTACTGATATCCCCAAATGCCAGGACAGTACAGATATCCCCCAAATGTCAGAACAGTACAGATATCCCCCAAATGTCAGGAGAGTACAGATACCCCCAAATGTCAGGACAGTACAGATACCCCCCCAAATGTCAGGACAGTACAGATATCCCCCAAATGCCAGGACAGTACAGATATCCCACAAATGCCAGGACAGTACTGATATCCCCCAAATTGCCAGGACAGTACTGATATCCCCCAAATGCCAGGAAATGTACTGATATCCCCCCCAAATCCCCAAATGCCAGGACAGTACAGATATCCCCCAAATGTCAGAATAGTACAGATATCCCCCAAATGTACAGAACGGTACAGATATCCCCCAAAATGTCAGGAGAGTACAGATATCCCCCAAATGTCAGGACAGTACAGATATCCCCCAATTGGTCAGGGCCTCAGTACAGTTTTATCCCCCAAATGTCAGGACAGTACAGATATCCCCCAAATGCCAGGACAGTACAGATATCCCCCAAATTGCCAGGGACAGTACAGATATCCCCCAAATGCCAGGACAGTAACAGATATCCCCCAAATGTCAGGAACAGTACAGATATCCCCCAAGTGTCAGGACAGTACTGATATCCCCCCAAATGTCAGGACAGTACAGATATCCCCCAAATGTCAGACAGTACTGATATCCCCCAAATGACCCCTTTTTGGAAAGTAGACAGTCTGAGGTATTTAGTAAGATGCATGGTGAGATTTTTGAAGTTGTAAGTTCTATGGTATTGCACTGGTAGATGGACTTTTGTCTTTTTTCAGCCAGACTAACTATGTAACTATGTAAGTTTTTTTTCTCATAATTTTTGAAAATGAAGAAATATAAAAAGAAATTCCCAATTTTTTTATTTTTGTTTTTTTTACATGCTGCCACCAGTGCAGTACAGGTCATCATATAACTGGTGTGTGCGCGGTGATCAGGGACACTGACTGGCGACAGATATAGGAATCAAATTATATGTTTTTTTCAAATGGGGACACCTGATGTAAATGGGGACTGTGATTGGGACACCTAATATAAAGGGGGACTTTGGAGCTACCTGATGTGTAAGGGGGCACTCTGACTGGGACACCTGATGTAAGGGGGACTCTGATGGGGACACCTGATGTAAGGGGGACTCTGACTGGGACACCTGATGTAAGGGGCACTCTGACTGGGACACCTCATGTAAGGGGGCACTCTGACTGGGACACCTCATGTAAGGGGGCACTCTGACTGGGACACCTTGATGTAAAAGGGGGCACTCTGACTGGGACACCTGATGTAAGGGGGCACTCTGACTGGGACACCTGATGTAAAGGAGGACTCTGATGGGGACACCTGATGTAAAGGGGACAACTTTGGGGGCACCTGATGTAAGGGGCACTCTGACTGGGACACCTGATGTAAAAGAGGACTCTGTTGGGGACACCTGATGTAAAGGGTAAACTTTGGGGCACGGACGTGATGTAAGGGGGCACTCTGACTGGACACCTGATGTAAGGGGGCACTCTGACTGGGATACCTGATGTAAGGGGGCAAATCAGACTGGGATAACCTGATGTAAGGGGGCACTCTGACTCGGGACACCTGATGTAAGGGGGCACTCTGACTCGGAACACCTAATGTAAGGGGCACTCTGACTGGGACACCTGATGAAAGGGGGCACTCTGACTGGGACACCTGATGTAAGGGGGCACTCTGATGGGGACACCTGATCTAAAGGAGAACTATGAGGGCGGAGATTTAGATAGAGATTTAGAACTCAGCATATTTTAGCCCTGGACCTACCTCTTTGAATGTGAATTCATTCCCTCTTCGCTGGATGCACTTTTGTGTATTGCAGGCAAGGCTGGTGCTAGACAAGACCAGCTACTTGCGCCCCCCCCCCCCCCCCCTCCAAAAACAAAAAAAAGAAAAGAAGAGGAAAACAGTAAGAATTATTAAAATCAATGAAACTGCTAAATTTCTTTTAATTTGCAAAAATAATTGTCATAAGATGCCTCCAGCACCAATATTAAAGACAAAATATATATTGACCAGATATTAACTACTAACCAATCAGACAGAGAAATAAACAAAAAAAAAAGAGACAGAGTTACAAAACTTCACAGTGATCAGCAGCCGCTTTGCAGTAAGGGACTGAGTCTGAGAGGAACACTAGGAGTTCAGCTGCTACACTGGCCACAGAAACCCGGCATCTTCCTCTGTCCTTTCGTTCCTCTCCTCAGCTGAAGAATCATTCATGACGTGGCGGTATCCCCACCCGATCAATCAGAATCTGCTCCCCTCCTCACCCCGACCATTGTCCGACCCCCCCCCCCTCCTCCATCCACTTCACTTTATGACCCTGCCATCCTCCTAGGCTCGGCTCACCTCTGATGGCTCCTGCCGGGGTGCGGAGTTCAGCTGTGGCTCTCAGTGAGGAGCCAATACTACACCGCTTCCCTCTTATACACATTGGGCCCTGATCATCCTACTCACATAGGGTTAAACCTGCAACCAAAAAACACCTGCCTTTTGATTGGCTCCAGCTGTGTAGAAGAAGGAGGAGCCAGCACTGGGCACACCCTAGCACTAGTCCAGTGGATCGTGTGTGCCGGTTGTGGAGTACGGACCAATCCTCCCAATCAGAGACTACTGACCGCCCGGGTCCTGAGCGAATGTCCTCAATTCCCATCCCAGGGGAGACGACACTTCACTGCTACACGGAATACTGTCATGTGCGTAGATATGTACTAAATGGTCATGTGTGTGGACATATGTCATGTGTGTGGAAGATACCATCTTTCCCTGTGTATAAGGAAAGGGGATTCTGCAGAAAAATGAAGAATTCATACAAGAGGTCCATAGGCCACACAGAGAGAGTGACGGCCTGTGCTGCGCCCAGGTGCCCCTAGGTGGCAATGCACCCTAGGCGTCTGCCTAGCGGAAGCACCGGCCCTGATTGCAGGAATGTGTGCCGAATTGCGTGCATTACTGCAATACACAGACACACACACCCTTCTACAGGGCAGTACCCCCGCCTGTCAACTCCTCCATTAAATTTGCCATGACGGAAGGGGGGAGGGGCACTATGACAATATATTTGTGCTCATTATATATGCAGGAACTCTCACATTTTGTGTCTTTTTTTCTATCTCACATACAGGCCACCCTGAATAAAACTCTCGCAGATATTAATGCCGCGCAGACCTACATGGACACTAAAGTGGTTTCAATAGTAAAGAATGTAAGTATTTCTGGGGGGAGGGAACGGACGGATAGAAGACCATGCAGTCGTTACAAATGGCCGAAATGTATACAATATGGGCATTTCCCCTCTGCTGGCAGTGATTGGTGCAGTGTATAGTTGCCACTAGTCAGCCTTCACAAATCAATGACAGGTGGCAGCTGTATGCATAGACATGCTAATCTACATGTGTACAGGTTTCTGTATGAGTCTCCCTAGTCTGCGTTCAATCTTAGGGCTTGTCAGGACCTGAATCACCTGCTGGTGCAACTGTGCTTCTCAGAGTGGAAGATTGTAGTTCCAGTGTCCACCAGCAGGTGTCCTCCAGCAGCAGCAGATCCTAGAAACCAGTCTCCACTTGATGCTGGCAGGATATATATAGCAGAGAGAGACCTATATACCCTCCCAGCAGCCAGCATCAGGTAGAGACTGATTACTAAAATCTGCTGATGCTGGAGGACACCTGCTGGTGGCACTGTATTTCCCTGGATGGATGATTGTAGTTCTAGTGTCCACCAGCAGGTGTCTTCTAGCAGCTAGCAGTTTCTAGTGATCAGTTCTACACCTGATACTGGCTGCTGGGAGGATATATAGGTCCTCCTCTGTTATTATTTTAACAAAAAGGACCTATATACCTATCTGTGTTCAATCTCAGAGATGTCAGGACCCAAATACCTGCAGGTGGCGCTGTGCTTCCCAGAGTAGTAGGTTGTAGTTTCAATGTCCTCCAATGAATGTCTCCCATCAGCCAGCAATTTCTAGTAATCAGTCTCCACTGATGCTGGCTGCTGGGAGGGTATATAGGTCCTCCTCTGATATCATTGTAATAACAAGAAAGGACTTATATACCCTATTAGCATCCAGCATCGGGTGGAGATTGATTACTAAAAGCTGCTG